TTCTCTGTACTTCTGCCCTGGTTTTGTTTGCTTTCTGGTTTTCGATCTTTCGCCCGGTTTTTGGTTTATGACTTCGTGCGCCCCTCGGACTTTACACTTTGGCTTGTATGTGTGTTTGTGTATGTATCTGGTGCGTAGGGAGTGGTTGCCGTTTTGTTTTGTTATACTTTGTGTCCACTGATTTGGAGTGGGGGTTAAGGGCCTTGCTCAAGGAGCTGCAAATGTGTTGAAGTTGGGTTTGAACCGGCAACCTTCTAATTGCAGGTACACAGACTTAGCCCACTGAGCCACATGCTACCCCCAATTGCAAGCATTTCATAAGTGTCAAAGACTTTTATTGAGAATTGCATTAAGTTTATGCAAAGAGTCAATATTTGCAGTGTTGGCCCTTCTTTTTCAAGAACTCTACAATTTGCCCTGGCATGCTGTCAATCAACTTCTGGGCCAAATCCTGACTGATAGCAGCCCATCCTTGCATAATCAATGCTTGAAGTTCATGAGTTTTTGTTTGTCCACCCGCCTCTTGAGGTTTGACCACAGGTTCTCAATGGGATTAAGGTCTAGAGAGTTTCCTTACCATGGACTCAAAATGTCGATGTTTTGTTCCCCGAGCTACTGTACTTAGTTATCACTTTTGCCTTATGGCAGAGTGCCCCATCATGCTGGAAAAGGCATTGTTCATCACTAAACTGTTTTTGGATGGTTTTGAGAAGTTGCTTTTGGAGGATGTTTTGATACCATTCCTTATTCATGGCTGTGTTCTTACGCAAAATTGTGAGTGAGTCCGCTTCCTTGGCTGAGAAGTGACCCCACACATGAATGGTCTCAGGATGCTTCACTGTTGGCATGACATAGGACTGATGGTAGCACTCACCTTTTCTTCTCTGGACAATCCAGTCTGCTATTCTAACTCAATCAGTATGACAGAGTGATCTCCAGCACTGTCCTCATCAACACTCTCACCTGTGTTACCGAGAGAATCACTGAAATGCTGTCAGCAGGTCATTTTGTGGCAGGGCTGAAATGCAGTTAAAATGAGTTTATTTGGGATTAAGTACATTTTCATGGCAAAGAGGGACTTTGCAATTAATTGCAATTCATCTGATCACTCTTCATAACATTCTGGAGTATATGCAAATTGCCGTCATAAAAACTGAAGCAACAGACTGTGAAAATTAATATTCGTGTCATTCTCAAAACTTTTGGCCACAGATATACATTACATGACTATTTATCAATTTTCTATCAAAGCTTTACTAGAATACATTGATAGAATAAACCACCTGTCCTGGACAGTATATAACAATGCATTTTATTTAAAATATCACAATAATTGAGAGTACAACCTGGGTATGTGGCTATTGAATTGGAATGGATGAAGGAATAATATTTTGAACTGCATGACTCGGAGAATGAACTACTTCAAAACCATAGGAGAAAATCATTGATGTATTAATATATGATGTTAATATTCATAATAAGCTGTTAATACTGAGATGTGAACTCTCTGTAGGACTATGATCTCAGCCAGCTGCAGCAGCCTGGCTCCCTGGACCATATCATTAAAAAACCTCCTGGAATAAGAAGGGTCGATGAGAGACCTGTGATGGCTGAGGCCCAGTTCCCCGTCCGACCCGCTTTGCCCCATCCTGGGGACATCGGGGACTTCATCCACGAGGTAGATCACTACAACTACATTGTCTCTCCCCTGCAGATATAGCCATGAAAGTCCAGCCACATAACATTAAAAGACTCCCTTTCTTAAACATACACATTCACACACACAGGTATCCATCTTTCACATTGTTTGGCACAGCAGAATAAACTGAAATGCAATACATTGACTTTCTCCCTTAATTCTCTAAAATATGTCTTACTTTCTTTAACACAGGATGTAGTAGCTAATAATAATAGCCCCTGTCCTTTCTTTTCCTGACTCAAACCCAAAATATTAATCACACCGTGTCATGAACCACTCTCATCTCTGTGCTGTTGTACCACCTCACCATCACAGGGCTTGCGAGCGGCAGACATTGACCCAACAGCACCACCCTATGACTCCCTGCTGGTGTTCGACTACGAAGGAAGTGGTTCCATGGCAGGATCCATCAGCTCTATGGGCTCCTCCAGCACTGGCGACCAAAACTATGATTATCTCAAGGACTGGGGGCCACGCTTCAAGAAGCTGGCTGACATGTATGGCAGTGGGGGTGACGACTAGGGCCTAAAACTTAGACTTCCCCCTAATGCTCACATGGAATACCCTCCCCAAGCCCAATCAATGCAACACTCTCAAATTCAACAATGGCCTGGATTGTAACAGGTGTGTTGAGGCCTGCAAATCAGTCTCCTGTGGACTTTACTCAAAAACTCTTCTGTTTCTTTTTCCCTCCATTTTAGTATTAGTGTTTGGTGTTTTCTTGCTTCTGATATTATTTTCTAGTCTTTGTCATGGGCTGTCCAGTGTCCTGAGGGGCCCGTTTACAGGACAACTGCAGAAGGAGAGTGATGCATAGTACTACATTTTTTTTGCATTGAAAGAGTGTGAAAAGGCATTCTTTTCTAACTTGAGTTCCTTGTAAAACAGAAGCACGGTTGTTATGAAGTGCCTTTTGTGGTGTGTTTCATTGGAGTCCCACTATCTCAGGACTGCTGGCCGCTCGGATGCTTTCGCGCGGCATGCGTTTCATTCTGCATTCTGACCTACTCTCCACACCCCCCTTCCTGAAATCTCTAAATGCCTTCAGTTAGTCAACCTGTGGTTAATTCACCAACAACTAAAATTTATTATGTGGAAAACTGGCCCCATAAAGATCAGTAAAAAATAGCAGTGGTTATTTATTTCAGAAGAAATTGGTTCGAGTAAACCAGATATTTCTTGTTGGAGACTGATAAATATATTTATACCTGTGCTGATTAAAAACCAGAAGCATGACCATGATCCGATAAGGAGCTTCTGTCTAGCAGAGAAGTTCTATTTAAATTAAAAACAGTTTATTTCCCCAAAAACAACATAAAACGTCCAATAATATCTTTCCAATATAATTAAAAATATATAAAATCACTTTGGGATTTGTACAGATGAGGAATGTTGCTCGTTCAGTTTCATGAGGCTGGGGCCATTTAAGGTCTGATGCCCATATTTCTTTTATAATTTGTGTTGCTTTGCACTCTAAAAGCTCACCTGGGCATGATATTAGAACAGTGCTAAGACAAATGTGAAACAAGTCATTGAGAAAGAGGACAGTATTAATGATTTTAGTTAATGACATGAAAAATTGCATGATTTTATTTGTTTCCCAACAAAGTATAGCACTTGTTTGTATTTGATCAGACTGGGAAATGTTATGTGAAACAAATATTTAAGCTGTAAAAAAAAAAAGACTTGAAGTGGAAAAAAATGTGTAAAAGTACTATTTTTAAAAGTGTTAAGGGAATACAGTTACTGCTTTTGTGTTCTAGTTTTGCCTCAGGGCAGAATCACATCTTAGGGCCCTTGTGGTTCAAAACCTCTTCTTTTTTCCAGACTCACTACAGTACTTAATTTTAATTTTGAAAGGTTTTCATGTGTTGTACAGTTCTGTTTTGATGCAAGTACACAGATCCCTTTTCTCGTTCTTTGTCACTGTATAATGTGTTTTCAATGATTACTTGCATTCTACACACTTGAGATAAGTGATTTATCTTAGAAAGCACCAAGAATGATTTCTAAAATCTCTGCTGCTGAAAAAGGTGACAAGTGCTATGTTTTTTTCATTTCTTGTCATTCATCTAAATACTGCATATGTGCTTTAGAAAATAAACAAGATGATTTGACAAAAAATGCACTTTATAGCTCTAATTCATCCCATTCTCTATCATCAAAACAGTCTTTCCCATTAGACTGTATCATCACGGGTAATAGGCAGGGGTAAGTTTCACTGGAATTTCATACACAAAGGTCACTTACACTGTTATAGACTAGGGTCAGATTATTTGACTTGAATTATACATGATTGCATGCTTTCAGTGCACAGCAAGAGATATTCAACTCTTAAAATATTTTATGGGTGCCACAAATATCTAAACGTTCAGATTCCGTGTATAATGCTTGCTAGTTATGCCTAGGGTGGTGCAGTGGACTTCTCAGTTTTAACAGATGCTTATTAGAAAAAATAAGCATTTATTTGTACATGCTTTCCTGTTTAGACCTAATTGTGTATCACCTCAGATGTCAACAAAATGTCAATCCCAGGGTCTGTACAGTATATTACAGAACTACAATTAGTCAACAATGGTCATAAGACAGGTAAATATGCATATATGGATATAAATTTCATAATTATGTGTCGTAATGATAGATATGATTCAAAACCTGCAGTAATATGCCAGTGTACCTAATTTACCCAATGGAACATTTCAAAATCTTTTTTTAAAGACATTGTATGTTACATCTGTTAAAACTAACGAGCATACAGCACTTTTTTTAACTCAGAACTTTATACGGTACTGTAAATATAAGTCAAATTTTCACTTTCATAGATATGCAGCTACTGTAACTAGATGCAACACATTTTGCCTTCCCATTAGTATCTGATTAAAATTTTGAACATTAGAAATACATCAATTTCTGCTATTGATATTAGAATGTATTGACAGTTTGATGCTTGAAATGTTGATACACATTTTCCTTATAAGATCAAAATACAAATTTAAGCTAAATAAATAACAGTATTCTGTTGTATGAAAAAGGTACACCTGTTCAGCTGCTTGTTGAAGCAAATATCTAATCAAACAATCATATGTCAGCAGCACTACAGTATGTATAAAGTCATGCAGATACAGGTCAGAAGCTTCACCAGAATAGGGATGAAACATGATTAATGCGACTTTTGGACATGACATCGTTGTTGGTGCCAGATGGGCTGGTATGAGATCTAGGATTTTCACATGTACGTATATCTAGGGTTTACAGAGAATGGACTGACAAAGAAAAAATATCCAGTGAGTGGTGGTTCTTTGGGTGAAAATAGCTTGTTGATTACGGAGCTCAGTGAAGAATGGCCAGATAGGTTCAAGCTGATAAAAATGCAACAGTAACTCAAATAACCACTTATTACAACCAATGTATGCAGAAGAGCATATCTGAATGCACAACATGCCAAACCATAAAGCAGATGGGCTACAGCAGCAGAAGACCACACTGGGTGCCATTCCTGACAGCTAAGAACAGGAACTGAGGTTACAGCGGGCACGGGCTCACCAAAATTGGAGAATTGAAAAGATTAGAAAAAATATTGCCAGTTTGTCTCGCTTTCTGATACAAAATTCAGATCATAGTAAGAATTTGGCATAAATAAAAGCACATGTCATCTCAGACTGGTTTTTTGAACATGACACTGAGTTCACTGTATTCAAACAGCCTAAACAGTCAGCAGATCTCCATCCAATACAGCAGCTATGGGATGTTATGGAATGTGAGACTCACATCATGAAGGTGCATCCGACAAATCTGCAGCAACTGTGTGATGCTATCATATCAACATGGACAAACATCTCTGAGGAATGTTTCAAAGAATTTGTTGAATCTATGACACGAAGAATTACAGCAGTTCTCAAAGTAAAAGGGAATCCAACCCAGTACTAGCAAGGTGTACCTAATAAAATGGCTAGTGAGTATATATTGAGTGATTAAGTCAAATGTATTTATCAAATGTATTTGTTAGTATTTAAATTATCCATCAAATTAATAATACATACAATAATAAACTCTGTGACATTATTTTTGTTTTTAAAGTTTATGTGATGGATCCACTTGAAACAGTTGTAAATCCATTTACTTCTATGTTTAATTATTTATACCTAGTTCAGTTTTGGAACGGCAATTAAGAACACTTACCTATACTCAAACTTTTTGTGTAAGTTGTAACATTGTCATGACCTGGACAGATCAATAAAATTTCAATGATCTCCATAACCTTACTGATACATAGGACACAAAACACATGATTATATGTGGCAACTGTTACCATTGTAAACTATATATATATGTACCAACATCCTGGGGGTCAATTTAAATCCCAAAGGGTTGGTGTCCCCCACATGAATAAGATAGCATGTCCAACCCAAAGACTAGAGGATGTATTCTTGTCAGGATGCCACTGCCTCACTATATCCAACAAGGACATATGTGAGCCACAGGGCGAGCTTAACTACATGCATTTGAACCATGACACAGAACGGTGGAAGAAAATATTCAATCTCTCTATCATTGTTGTGTGCACATAACTGACAGTGTGAAAGAATGATGGCTCATAATCCTTCATGCAAATGTGAGTTCACCTAAACATAACAGATTTGTATTGTTATAATTGTGGTGGTGTGCCCCTCTACTTGCAGGTTCTCTGGCACAGTGGTTATTGTGCCAATTTTTCACACAGAAGGTCCTACTGTAGGTTTTAGCTTCAGTAAGACCCTTTGGCCCTGTAATCAGTAAATAATACTGCATTTTGCAATACAATTTCTAGCAATATATTTTAACAGTTTACTTACATTAAGTTAATGTATACAGAGCAGTTGCAGGTATGTTAATTGCTGCTGTATTATTGAAACTAGCCCAATGACAGCGATTTCTCATCAGACTCATTTGCATGGCTATACTGTCCATAGACAGCTCATTGTTTTGATGTTGGGCATACATCACGATACCCAATTCAACATGTGGCCTCAGTTTGCTGGGCTGTCACAGGACCAAAATTAAACAAGAGTGACTTGCTATATCTGCATCCTAACTCTTCAGTGATAATTCCCTAATGATTTAATGACTGCCGTTCACACAGTCATCTCAAATATGAAATTTATAATACTTTATGAAGCTTAGTGTCTTTAATCAACATTTTTCTTCTAATATTATTAGCATGATTACTAAGCAAAGTCTCTCAGGGTACAATAGTGGGTCCATTTCTGGAAGTCCAGTTCTATAACCTCAACATCAATGACTATATACATTGTCCTAATTAGCCAACGTAAAGTCTGAGTGCAAATGAAAGATTTACTTGGGGACTTTATTTTTATTTGCTAGCCATGGTATGAAGCTTCACTTACATACACCAATCAGCCATAACATAAAAAATTACTGACAGGTGAAGTGAATAACATTGGTTATCTCGTTAGAAAGGTACCTGTCATGGGTGCACATATATACTGTACAAGGCAAAAGAACAGTCAGTTCTTGAAGTTAAATTCATGTGTTAAAAGCAGAAAAAATGGGCAAGTGTAATGATCAGGAAAACTCTGACCATGGCCAAATTGTGATGGCTATGCACCTGGGTCAGAGGTGATGTGCAGCCCCTGATGACAGTGGCCCCTTTCAGCAGGATAATGTGTCCTGCAACAGTTCAAAAATTGTTCAGGAATGGTTTGAGGAACATGAAAGAAATTGGCCTCCAAGTTTCCCAGATCTTAATCAAATCAAGCATCTATAGGATGTGCTGAACAGACAAGTCCGATCCATGGAGGCTGCACCTCACAATTTGCAGGATTTAAAGGATTTGCTGTTAACATTTTGGTACCAGATACCACAGGATACCTTCAGAGGGTCAGAATTGTTTTGGCAGCATGAGGGGGATCTACACAATAATAGGCAGGTACTGTAATGGCTGATCCGTGTATAACAATATGCATATAAGAAAGTATGAAATAGAGTCTATTTGCTCCTTACCATCCATTGTGGCCTTCACAAGTGTTGCACCCAGTGTTCTCATGCTACCTCTCTTGTGATTGTGAAGTAAAATAAGTAACTTCTACTGGTTGTATGTGGAGTTGGCATATTCTCATGTTCTCCCTGTATTGTTTCTTCTGGACACACTGGATTCATCCTGCAGTCCAAATACATGGCTAACTTATGTCTCTGAATGGGCCAATGACCCATGTCCTGCTTACAGTGGAATTGAAGCATTACACACATCTATCCCTCTGAGAGTCGCATTCAGGGCAGGTGATAGAACGGTCTTGACGGATGACACTGCAGTTGTGACCCGCTGGGCTGACTACTTTGAGCAGCTGTTTAAAGTCGATCCTCCAGCTAGGACAATGGACATCTTTGGGTGCACAGATCTTGAGGCTGATCCACTAATTAGCTATAAACCACCCAATCAAACTGAAATTGCACAGATGGTGAACCAGCTGAGGGTACGGAAGGTCGCAGGGATCTGTGGTATCCAGGGTGAACTTTTCAAGGCTGGTGGTAAGGCTGCCGTCCTGGCATTGCAGGCAATCTTTGCTTCCATTTAGGAGACGGGCATCATCCCAACACACTGGAAAATGATACTTGTTGTCCCTAATTGGAAAGGGAAGGGTAATCGCCTGGATTGCAGCAACTACAGGGAGATAACACCTCTCTCTGTGCCGGGTAAGGTCCTTGCTAGGGTCATCCTTAACATGATCCATGGTCCCTTGCTCACCCGTCAGCAAACGGAGCAGTCTGGTTTCACACCTAAGAAGTCTACCATCGACCACATCCTGGCACTGAGGGCTCTCATTGAGTGCAAATGCAAATATCGGCAGAGGTTCTTTGCAGCCTTTATTGATTTTCATGAAGTGTTTGACTCAGTTGATTGAGCTGCCCTGTGGGACATCCTGAGACTTCCCAGGATCCCTGTGTGTGTGTGTGTGTGTGTGTGTGTGTGTGTGTGTGTGTGGATTATGTATATATTACACTGCTTGGACCAAATATCTCACCCAATGTGATAAAAACCTGTTATTTTAACATTGTGGGGACCGTTTTTTGGTCTCCACATGGGGAAAC